AACATTTGATGCTCCAAGAGCATTCTTCCAGTTCCTAACCTCAACATACATAGGTGCATCCTGATGTGCTATGAGATACAGTTGACACAATTTTCAGGAGACTCGATTACACTCTTTCCATTTTCTTATTCATTTCATATTTCACATAGCTTTACTACCGTGTCCTAGCTATTATATTTTGTCGTTACTAATGATTTCTAGATCGTGCCTGCTGCAACTATTGCCCGAGTTGTACAATGTTTTATTGCCGTATGAAACGTGGCTGACTTTGAAAATAATATTCTTACATAGGTGTATAGACGTCTACCTCTTTTACGTTTTAGCCTTCGTATTTCGTTTTTCTGCTTCCTACTTTTCCATTTGTTCTTCTGAATACTAATATTTTAGTTTTCTCCTCGTTCACTTCGAAACTGTTTTCTCTAGAATAGTTCCGTAGTGTGTGTTTCCATTTTTTCTTCGCACAACTTGTGTCCACTATTGATGAGGTGTTTGTCGATATCGGATAACATGAGAATGTTTATTACATTGCCCAATGAGAAATGCCCTCTTATGCAAACGTGACGAGGAAACCTCACATGTACTTATATCGTACAAAAAATTTGGCACTTTTCATGACTTATAATAATTATTCATTCTCATTTTTTTTGTAGTAGATAATAAAATTCGAACAGTATTATTCACCAATGTGGCGAAAGCATAATTCGACTCGCGGAGAATAATTGGTTTAATGTTAAATAGCATCAAATTATAACAAAGAATGGTTTTTAAAAACTTGTTAACGCACGTTTTATGAAAACTCTCATTCCTTCGCTTTTCTATTAATATTTCACTAGCTTGATCTTACGTAATTTATAATCATTTGTATCCATGTATAAAATTGCCGAGTCGCACAGCGTCATAAGTACAAAATCACAATGAGCGCGAAGTTTCATCGCTCGTTTGCATCACAGTTTGATCGCCCTGGATCGAAACGAATGAAATTGGATCGTTTATGTAGCCGATATATCCCTCCTTTTCTACTCTGGTTAAAACTTGCGGCCATGCATGCACGTGTTTGCCGAATGTATCGCCATTATATATACATACATGTAATAGCGTTTTAAACGATAGGCAGATCTCTTATCTGTGTTATAAATAAAGGGCACGGAACAGCTGCGAAGGCTCGAATAGGCGAATATTTGCTACATACGTCCTTCGTCGCTAACGTCATCGCTACACGTACGATGGAACACTGATTTTTTGTTCTCCGTAGTCGAGGAAATTTCTTTCTCTCTCGACGTCTTCCAATCCCTTAAATCGACTCAACCGACTGTTTCATTAACGAATTGATAGCGTTTTCTGACGTTTACAGCGGAGATCGTGATAGTACGATGACGATAAATGTGGTCGTTCGAAACTGAGTTCTTGCTGCTCTACGATCGATTCACCGAAATCTTACGGTAGAAAAAAATCATTGTTTTATAATATTTAATTGTTTGAAGATTCGAAGCGTTGTCTGGTTTGTGCTATTGACGTAAACGCGGATAGAACATGGACGAGGGAATTGGTAGAAAGAAGCGCGACAAACTTGGAGAATCGTCATCCGATGGTATTGGATATCGTACAACTTTCGGTGAGTTTGTTGTACCTGAGAAAGATATTCTTGTTTTTCAGCTGTACCGTTCATCAAAGATGCGTAAAATAGGAGCACGATCGTAAACGCTAAGAACATTCAGGCGACCGATTCACATTCGCTTCAGCTAAACCCGAGATTCGGTTCTTCTGTATACGAAATTATTGATAAAGCGTACATCGTAAATTTACTTGGTAAGAAAAGACGAAACGCGAATGATGTTAGCCGATGTTAATTGTCACACGTGCGAATATACATACGTATGTATATATGGTCGCAATGTTTGAGAAATTTAAAGTCGAATTTAGGATGCAATAATAGTATGCCGAAGAAAGAGCAACAGAGAAGCAAGTACGAATCCTACGAACGATACCTTTTTTTCTTGAATCGCAAGAATATACGGGCTATACATATGTATGTACGTATGTATATGTCATCATAAAACGTTTAACTTTTAATTGGTACATGTGACGTTAAATCGTTGAAACATCGACCCATAAGAGAGTTAGATCAAGTTATTTTATTCTCAAGTATTTCATACGGATTTATATCCTGTGTGTCACGTTAATATTCGGGCATCCTTTAAAATGGAATAACTTTTTCAAAATTGGACCAGACAACTTGAGTTTTTCACAAGCAAGAAGGATCGGTTTACCGGATGACGGGTAAAAGCAATTTTGAAAAAAGATTGCTATTGATCGGAATCGCGAAGAATATATTCATCGTAACGGCAACGTTTTACGATATTTTTTTATTTATCTGAGCCTGTAGCGGAAGTTACGTAGGTAAAAAGTATACGTTTCGTAGATTCGTGTCACTTATGCGTACTGAAAATTTCATGGAGATCGAACTACGAACGATGAACAATGGTGAAAATCACAGTTTTTTCACAACTTTCTGCCTCTAACTGTAATAAAGCGAAAGATTCTTACATCGTTTCGATATCTTTCGCTTGTGTCTCGCCAACCGGCTAAAAAAGTTAATAAAGTTACAGGGTGCCCATATTAACGCATGCTCGATATTAACGTGGTCGTCTATTAGCAAAAGATGAGATAACCTTAAAA